CCAACCCAATAGAGCCATGGCCTCCAAATTCTGAGAGCTATGTCCTCCAACCCAATAGAGCCATGGCCTCCAAATTCTGAGAGCTATGTCCTCCAACCCAATAGAGCCATGGCCTCCAAATTCTGAGAGCTATGTCCTCCAACCCAATAGAGATGGTTTTGTAGTCTTCTCCCCATCTCCTGCTCTCACTTGGTCGACCGTGTCCGTCTGGGACCGTCCTGCAGGTCTTGCGGCCTGGAGCTCCACGTTGGGAAGCTCCACGAGCGGTTCTCACGCCGCAACTACGCAAGCGATATCTGTACGATCGCACGAGAGAGTGGGATTCCACGAGAAACAGAGACTATGGTGAGATCTCATCAAACGTGCCTCACACAAGCCCTGGAAGATTGGACGAAACGAACCTTGAAAGATGTGATACTGATAGCAGTACCAAGAAACGGACACTTTTAGAGCACCAAATCCTTGGGCATTTTCGCTCGAAAACCAAATCCTTGGGCTTTTAGATCACCAAACATTGAAATCCAAAACAAAGAGACCACGGCTCAGGCCACTCTCTCCTGCGATTTTTGGAACGCTCAACCGACTACGAGGTCCACATGATCCACTTGGGAAGCAGGGCGAGAATGAGATCTGCAATCTTTCGATCACCAAGATGGTCTTGACATGACGGATCGTAGGAAAGAGGCCATTCCACCGGGCAAAAGAACAATTAGAAGCGATGGCCTGCACCCTACTAGGGAAAAACATATCAAGGAAGTGTTGTTTGTAAATCATCAGGGTATTCCTTATTGCTTGCTTGGTCTACTAAAAATATCCGCGCAACGAACAGGAAGAGTCTTATTGCGGAGTGTTCACTTATGCATGGTTAAAGGTACTTGACGTCAGCAACTCCTGCTTGAGCTATCATTAACACCTGGTATGAACACCTGTTCATGCCGGCTGGTTACCAGTTGGTTGTTTCGAAGTTGCAAGGCTCTAGGGTTTCGTCACGACCCAGAACCTTTGAGCCATACACTTTACTCACCCCACCCAATCCTACATCTCACGGTACACTGAACAAAGCCATGCCCTTTGTTACCTTCGTCGCGTACCCGTTCTTCACGTCGATCCACCGCCGCTGTCGCTTCCCAACTCTGCGCGGGGCCCCCAAAGGAAGGACCGACTCAAGCTGACGCAGACTTCCCCCCAGACGGATGCGTCTGAAAATGACATGCGTGTTTGTCGGTCGTTGACCGAACTCCAAGAACCCTTTTAAACCTGGCAGTCCAAGACCGGTGGCTCGCCCTAGTTGGTACCAGAAATCTGGAAAGTGATCTCTACACCCAAACGACAGTAACTGCGCGACGCCAAGAAAGAGTCTTTTGATGACTTTCGTCGGAATTGTTCTTTTATCCTCTTGCATTCAACCTTTCTATCCAAATCTGCTCAAACCAATCATATGGTTCTTTCTTTGCTGTCCAGGGTTCCCTGGGAAAAACCAAACCATATGAAGACCATGGGGATTGCACCGAGATTCCGGAACCCATCACCTTCCCCTCCGCGTCCTCGTTCCTTGGATCGATCAAGAACTCTTCGTTGGTCCGTTTTCATCCCGGTCGTTGAAGCCGTTTTGGAGGCTCTTCTGGAGCCACAGGAGCCACCGTCTTGCCGGGGACAAGTCAGGGTCGTCTCAGCTCAAACGGCTTGAGTGGTTTTGGAGAGCACCGCGAAAATGAACGCAGCGAAGTAGTAGCTGAGCTTTGTCACTTGAAAGACATTCAGCTTCACTCCTGGAAGCGGCGAAACAACTAGCTACATGTGAGGGGATGGTTTTTGGTAGGGTTTTTTCGCAGGGTTTTGGCAACGCCAGCCATTCCCCCCAACCTTTAGGGGATAGATCAGCTCAGAATCGTTTTTTCCTCGAGGTGAAACCAGTTCTCTTAGGGCTCGAGGAAGCTTTTCATCAAGCGTCAGAGGAAGACCTAAACTCGCTGAACACCCTTTAGTCAATGAAACAAACAAACTTTCAGCCTGACCCAATCCGCTGAGCTTCCAAAGAGTGGTCTATACCATCAAGGTGGAAAGACTAGGGGACTAGATGGAACCTTCAAGGTTCTTCATCGGAGCTTCGAGCTTCGAGCGTCTCCTGCATCTTTACATGCTTCCTTACTTCGCATTGGCTCGAACAGCGCAAGTAAACGATTTGAAGCTCCCTCCTCGTTGAGTTCAAGTTGGGTGGAGCCCGGTTGACCCGTTGAGTTCTCCACGTAGCTCTCTTCATGCTGCCTCATCCCTTGTGTTCTCTTTCCCATTCCAGTGGTTGCAATCCGTTGCAATCTGGCACTCCACCCGGTGGACCCGGTCCGACCCGGTCCTTGCAAGTAAAAGCCTGCCTCGCTTTGATTCATGTATTGCACGATATACCTCAGACACGTCGGACGCAAGCGATGAGTTCATCCGTGGATCGATGAGTTCCGACTGGGCTGACGGACCCTTCAAAACAAAGGTCACCTGGTTGCTTATATTACTAGTAGCGTCCTTGTTCCGTTCGTAGCGATGCCCTTTCCTCCTAGTAGCTTCTTGTTACTAGTAATGCCCTTGCTACTAGGTAGCGATGCACCTTGTTACTAGTAACCTTGCTGCCCCTACTTTCTCGAACAACACATCATGATTTTGGTGTGGAAGGCATGCATTCCTTCGCCCTGGCCCATCTGAAAAGATCTTTTTGGAAAGAGATGATCTCCACCCACCCCGTGAGTAAAGAGGCAATTCACCACATGAAAGTACACAGTCCGACACCCAATTCACAGTCCACACCCTGATGGAGGTGCTCTTCAAGGACAGTGTTCGGCTTCACATATCGCGGAAGATTTGAGAATCCAACAAACACATATCTCGAGGCGGAACCCATGTTCTGCTGATGAGGTGTTTCAAGAGAAGCACCTCATGGGTTCCCTCAGAATCGGACTAGGAACACGATCGGGATCTGCTCATGTTGTGTGGCTTTGAAAGGAACATTGCAATCACAGATCAATCTATAAAAGGTGAACGATATGAAGTTGTGTTTTCACATCCAGGCCGCTGCCGACCGAGATCCATCCAGGCCGGACTGTGATCATCCTCATGGTCCACAAAGGTCCAGGAATTCACCAGCGGTGCCACGCGCGAGGCTTTCTCCGTCACGGCCGCGGCGCGCATCCTTGAGTGTGCGAGGTGGAGAACGATCTGCAGCAAAAAGGTCATCCACCAAGAAGGACAAACATATACATGAGAAACATTCAGTTCTCCACAGTAAAACTTTGAAGGCATCCTTTATCTATAGATATCTAAAGCAAAAATTGACATATTTCCTTTGTTAAACAGTCTCATGTAAGATGGAGGATCTCCTGCCACCAAAATGACCATATCTCTTATCCCATGGCCAACTCCTTCGCTCAAAAGAGCTGACATAGAACATGCACGCAAGAAATACCACCAACATTTTTTGTAGAAAATCGGTAAGTATATTGATCAACTAAGAATATTCGTGGCTCAAAAACTTCAAACGTATGCAGCAGTCCGTAGGTCTACACAGCAAGTGATATATAAAAACACTCTTACTGCTTCTATGATGAGAAAAGTCGGCACGCGTTTTTAGTTCGTGCACATCGACTTTGCATTTGGCTCACGCGTAAAGCCTACAGAATAAATCGTGTCTGTCTTTTTCTGTGTTTTGGCGTTGCTTATGAACCAGTCACAAGAAGTAACTATAGGCTCTCCGTGGCAGTTTTACACTCTTGTGTGCATGTTCGCTACTGTTATGGCTCAGGAGTGAAGCCCGCTTGCCTTTCAGTGCGTTTCGCTCCTACGAATCCTGTGTGTGATGGATGAAATATCACCAACCCTTTCAAGTGCGAGCTGATGACACAGGATGGGGTCATGCATACGTGAAGGATTCTGCATCCATGGCGATTTTGGATCCACGAGTTTTACTACACAATTGGTTGGAGCCTGGCGCAGCTGGCACAGTACCCGACTCTGCGAGCGGGGGTCCGATCTCTGCGAATGGGATCACTCTGATTGAATGCACACCCATCCCTGCTGACAGGCCAAAACAAGGCTCTTTCCCTGCAAAACAGGGTCACCTGGGTCACGTCGCAAATCCTTTCAGGATCAAGTTCAACAAGTGATCACTAAGAAGAATCCTTGGACAACCTACTCAATGACTGTGAATGCTAAAATTTTGAATTGGTTTGGTTTTCTCTTGTGTACAATGTCTCTTTCAGCCATTTTGACTCGGTAGTATGCGGTCGATTCTTTTTGCCTTTAAACTGGCCAAATTTTCAAAACAAACACCAGGAAGCTTGATTAAGAAGATTCTTAGAGCTTCGTCAAGCCAAATGAGCCACTTAACATCACTTAACTATCCAGAATGCAAACAACTCAAGGTCACGGTCACGTCTCTCATTCTTGACGAGCATCATGGCGTACAAGAACAGAAGCACGGGTGGGAAAAGCCAGCCTGAACTGGGAACGAATCCACCTCTCCACGTCACCCATTTTCACCGGCTTCATCTCACATAAAGAGTGGGGAAACACCAGGAAAAAACCTGGGATGGAGGCCACCGCTACTTGACGTCCGTGATCTTCCCGTCTCAAACCATCTCGGAGAGTGCATCGGGTTCCGGTCGCGTGCAAGAATGCTCCATTCCTAGCGATGCCACGAGCCCCGTTTGGAGCATCCGATCGCTCGGATGTAGTAAGGCAGCCCGTTCGTAGCTTCTTGTTAGAAGCTAAAAGAGACGCCTGTCACGTGGATTGTCCACCCGTGGCAGAGGGGGACAGTCCCCAAAACCAAACATCGACCCCTGCGGCCTTGTCTGACCCAATTGGAGCCCGCCAACCGCACCGGAACCCCGACCCCCCGCACCAGACGCACGTTCAACGTGGTCGTTGGCTGGGTGTCCGACGGTCGAACATCGATCGCCCTGCCTAAGAAGAAGGCCATCTGAAGAGCGCTTTGTGTCATCACCGGCGACTCCGGATGGAAGAAGACCAATTCTGCTAAGAGGAGCCTGCACGTCCACGTGAAAGCCCTCCACGTCGGCACAACGGCACAAGGTGGAATAAGGTAGATTTGGGCCATCGCCATAGCCATGGGCTCCAAACAAGAATGTGAAAGCCATCCACCTACTTGCGATGGCCTC